CATAAAGATGTATATATTATTATAACTTTCAAGAAATTTTCTATTATTAATATAAATATGTCTGCAAGTATCCCAAAAAAATTTAAATTTAAAAAGAAAAGAACAGACATACAGACAAATTTTGGGAACTGTTCTGATTTCTGAAGCCGTCCATGAGTTTATTTTGAATAGTTTATATATTCTGCTTTAAAATTCAGATACAGTCTAGTGAAAGCTAGTCTTGCTTCAAAAGTTTGTGAAAATCTTCAAACATAAAATATAAGATTAAAAAAAATCTCCTCGAAGTTAATGGGAATATAAGCAACAATTATTTATGTGTTTATTTTTCATATTCTATGTGTCATTAATTTTCATGCATGACCTTGAAATTTTAGTACTTGATCTAAAACAAATTGGGAAAATGGAGAAGGCATGGTAGAAAGGTTCCAATCCAATTATTTTATGACCTCCTAAAATTTCAAAATATATTTGATTTAATACATGTATACATTAGAATTCTGTTCCAATCCAATTATTTATGTAACCTTCTCCATTTTTCCATGTTCTAAAAGCAAAATGAAAAACCCACAACCTCAAAGGCAAATATAATGCAACACATATTTGCACATAGGAAGAGTTAAAAAAAAATTAGATTTTAGTCTTGATACATTATCAATGCTTGGGTATAAGAAGAGACTAAGTAGTGGGATTATATTGGGTGAAGCAAGAGACTAAGTATTGTGTGTTGGAAAAATGATGCTAGGAGGGAATCATTTTGTTGGGAATTTCAAGAGCATGGCCTATATTTCTCATGAACTCATGTCATGACGCCCAATAGTTGCTTCTCCGAAGTAGATGAAAATGTGATTTATGTTTATATATATATATATATATATATAATTGATTGAATTGGAAAACTATCTTAACATAAGATAATGTCAAAAAGTAGTGAAGAATGTGTCAATGAAAGACCTTTTCTTACAAAAGATAAAAAGAAGAGGATCACCTAATGTCTCAACCCATCAAAAAAGATACCACAAATTTTCAAAGAAAGATACAAGAAAGTAGAAGAATGGTTTGTGGCTAGCCACCACAAGGAAAGAGAAAAATAAATAAATAAATAAAATCACAACAAAATCTCTCTCTCTCTCTCTCTCTCTCTCTCTATATATATATATATATATATATATTCACACATACATACATAAAAAAATTTAATTTTGATTTTATTATATTATTTTTTCTTCAATTCTTTTATTTTAGTAACAATATTAGTATTACTATTATTTCAAAATCTTGTAACTTCAAGTCATATTACAAGATGGGATATAATATGAAAGAAAAGAGCCTATTTTTTATTTATTTTATTTATTTTTTGTCTTGGGATTTGGTTCCATTGAAGTGGTTGTTATTGGGACTAGCACTCTTTATTGGATAGAGTGGGAAATGAGAGAACATGGCTTAAGCAAGACCAATCCCATTGACTAAATCAATATCTTAATCCACTCTAAGGTTGGATGGATGGATGAACGAAAAGTTTGTAGAAAGTAGATGAAAAAGTATATGTAGGTATGAATGAGGGGTAAGGGTAGTGCATTCAAATGACCACATTGTAGTGCCAAATGGAAAAGCAAATATGATAAAGGCTTTGTTTTCTATGGATGGGAACGGTCACCAACCTCATTATTCATGAAGGAGGGAACCAATAATAACATTGGGAACGGAAAACAGAGAATGGAAAAAAAAAAATGGGAAGGAGAAATGGGGCCATGTGTCCATCCCGTTTTTTGCTCTCTTGAAGAAAATGAAAAAGTAAACAACTAATAAATAAACAAATAAACAAATAAACAAATAAATAAATAAATAAATAAATAAATAAAATGGTTATCATTTTGCATGTTGGAGGAGGATGCTTTGGAAGAATTGTGTACACCAATTTTTGAGATTAGGGTCCATGGACAATATATAATATGGTTTACATTATTATTGTTGGAAAGATGGAAAGGAAAGGGAGGAATGTAATATGTTCAAAACTAATGTCTGCTTTTAGGATGGCTATAAAAGTTTCCATGATTTTTTTTAATATTGTGAAATAAAAAAAGAATGAAAAATAATAAATGATAGAAAGGGTCATGTTGAGCACATGAACATACAAACAAACAAAAAATTGATGCAAGGATTTATATAAGTATTGATTGGTGTAGTTTTATTTATTTGTTTTGGCATAACATTGCCTTGTGAATTAAAACTTGATCAATTGTAACATATTAACATGTTCTTGGTGCACCAATACTACAGTCTCTTTGACTTGTTTTTAATTATTGAATACCAATCTCCTCCCCCCCCCCCTTTTTTTTTCTTCTCTTTTTTTCTCTCCGTAATGTGGTATTGATTGTTGAAACATTATTTTCACCTACAATTGGTGTGATTACAAAGAATGAAAATACACATCTTGATACTTGTCCACAACCTTCATATTTATTTATTTATTTACTGTTGGTTCATAGCTTGTTGAAATTCATTGAATCAATGAATTGCAAGTATTTATCCTCGTACACAATCACCCCAACTTGCAATGCTACGTAGCATGAATTTTATTTTTTTGACTTTATTCCGGCAGACAACATCAAATAACTCACATAAATTTCTTGAGGATTGCTGGGATTGAAATCAGTGAATCATTGGCGCAAGAACAAATGGGTACTGCACTTTAATATCATACTATTATTATTTTTATTAATTTTTAGAAAGATTGAACAAAAAGAGATAATATAAAAGTTTAGGAATCATTCATGTAGACATTGGAAGATTTCAATTGTTTGAGTCTTTTCAGTTTGCTTTCATGGGACCCATTTTGGAGCTACCATATCTCTTGAGATTCTGCCATTGAAGACTTGGGTCAACCCCAAGCTACTTTAGATTTTTATTAGAAAAGTTTAATCGGAATAGATCTAAATACTGAATTTAAAAATAAAATAAAAAACAACCAAAAACACACAAAAAACAAGAGGGAGTATAAGCAAACATTGGGATGCTTGGCTTTATTTCTGTTCTATTCATTCATGGCCCCTTTTCTGCGGACTATAAGAGCCCGCACCCACTATGTCCAGAATCCGTCATGTGGTCCACAAGGCATTGGGATAGATTCTCCCTCCCGAGTGTACCAATTCCGGATGTAATCCGCCACTGTAGCAGTCAGATCTGCTTCTCATTAACTTGCTTGTGAAACATGCATGTGCATTTGTATGGGAATACCCATTCAAATATATCAATGTGCTTTTATGTGACAAACCCTTTATTTTTTATTTATTTATTTATTTTTGGGTGTGAGAAATAATCTCGATGATCACATGAGTATGCAACTATTGTTGCTTTAGAAAGGAGTAAAAAATAAAATAAAATAACAAAATAAAACCTATCAGTCTAGCAAAATGTAGTTCATGAATAACTGGGGATTGAATAGACATTACTAGAAACGTAAACTGTACATGTGTATGCGTGCATGTTTATAAGTATATTTTATAAATGCATGCATGTAGGGTTACATGTATGAATGTATTCAAGCATTGAGAAACTAAAATGTATTGAAAAACTCAAGCATTAAAATATACATGTCTTTGTTAAGAAATTCAATTTTTATTTATTTAAGTGTTGTTTTATTATATTATTTTATATTGCTATTTTATTATTTTCTGTAAAGAAAAAAAAGAGGAGGAGGGTGTTGTAGGTTACAATAGCACGTTGGACAAATAATAATGGGTGTTCCAATGGATCATAATATAATGAATTTTATTGAATGCAGTGTATATATGATAAAAACGTTGTAATATATATATATATATATATATATATATATTGCTCATTTCTACTAGGAATAATACAAATGTATGTCTCAAAATTTCTCAACAAAAACAGATAAATTAACCAATGTGTATAGCTTTAAGTTTGCATTCAACCCACTGATTTCAAAATAAACAAATAATGTTTCGTAGACTTTTTCTCTGGGTATTAGACTTTTTAAAATACTTTCAAAATCAGAATATTCCACAAACACCGTCTTTTTGACGTATTTTATAAAAAAAGAAATTACTTCCTATTTTTATGACAGCATTATACAACACCAATTTTAATATTGAAAGTCTTTATCATAAAGCAGTTATTTTATTTATCTTTATTTTTTACCACAGGTGAAACATTTTCAAAGAGGGAAAAGTGCTAGGAATAGTGTTATGTGTTTAATTTAATAAAAACGCCATCAAATATCAGACATCCTTGCTTTCATTCAAATGGAAAAGAAAAGAACAACAACAACAACAACAACAACACATCTGTAAATAATAAACATTCACACACACACACAATCATCCAAAATCAAAATCAGTGAAAAAAAATAATAATAATAATTAATAAATAAAATGAAGATATGCTAAAGAAATCACGAGCTATGGACATTATTACATAAGGAAGGTGTGAAAGAGTAAACCATTTCACAAAACCAACATGAATAAAGAAGGAAAAAGTTTAAAAAAGAAAAAGAAAAAGTAGATAAAACAAGCAACGGATGTTTGATGTTTTATGGAGGCAATAGACGTGAAGGAATAAAGACAAAAGATTCAAAAATCCCAAATAAAGCAAACATACACATTACTAGAAATCGAGGAGGTATTTAATAAAACACACACACACACACACACACACACACACAATGGAACGAACATAACACCAGAACAGAAGACAAAAAAAGAAAAGAAAAAAAGTAAGAAAGAGTCGAAAAAGTAGGAGGAGGAAAGAAAAAAGAAAAGAGGGAGGCTGAAAGAATCGAAACATTCCCTCCCTACCCCCCCACAAGGCCTAGGCCACGACCCAGTCGAACCACGTCAGCACCTCCCTCCACCTCAGCACTCTCTATTGGGATGAGCTGTGCGTCCGCGTTGGCAGGCACCGTCTGCTGCCTTTAAATGGCCGCCCGCCACGCCATCTTCATCTGCATATCTCCGCCTCATCATCTGTCTGTCCCCCCCCCCCCCCCCCTCGCTACTTGCTTCTACTACTAGCTCCCCCTATTTGTCTTTGTCGTTGTTGTTGGTGGTGAACCGTGAATTTATGCTGGATTGATTGAGTGAGAGCTGTGAGTTCGCGCAGTAGAGGTTTGATTGAGTGGTGCAGTGGGTTTGTTTGTTTTTTTTTTTTTTTGTTTTGTTTTGTTTTGTTTTTTTTTTACTTCTCTGATGTGATGCGTGTGTTGTGTGTGTGTGTTGTAATGCTATAGTGCGGGATGGTCGTGAGTAGGAGACTAGTGAGTGTGAGCCGTGTGTTTTTTTTTTGGGGGGGTTTAGTTTAGTTTATTGTGTCGTTTGTTGTCTGGTGAGAAGAATTCGGCGACAGGATGGGAGATGGGGATAGTGAGGAGGTGGGATGCGATGATGCTGCTGCCCGGGAATGCAATGTATGAGGAGTTGCATCCTCTGCTGTGCCCACATGCGTCGTGGCGCGTGGCGGCCGCGCGTGGGACAGCATAGAATGCGGATCCTTGTAAATTGGCTTGTGTCGTGACGGAGTTCTCTGAATCAGGTGGAGTTTGGCGCCGAAGTTTCGGGGGTGCTGTTTCCGCGTTGTGCTCTCGCCGTAGACGAGTCGCCTGTTATTTTATGTTTCTTTTTTTGAGACTGTTGACGACGTTGCTCCTGCAGGAGTGTGGAACGCATTCTGCCTTTGTTGGAACTCGTCGCCGAGCGCGCATCCGGCTCGAGCTCATTCGACGAAGAAAGCGAGCGGCCATCTTTGTTCTAGATGGTGTTCGCGACGGCTGAGAACACTGCAAGCTGCTGTATACCTTCTTCACGGATTCCAGTCCTGGTTACTCTCATCTCAATCAGTCTCGTGGTCCAGCTTAGAACGGAGCTCCCTCCAAGACGACTTAAGCGCAAATCCATGGTAGAACGTCTGTGTGCAGCGCCGCTCTGAACTGGAGCAGCAGCGCTAAAACGCCAAACTCCGACAAATTTGCCACTATGTATCGAAACCATCCTCCCCACATCGCAGCCCTTTTCAGAGAAAAAGAGAAAAAGAAAACAAAATAGTAGCTTGAGTCATCACTAGGTAAACACACGGCACACGCGCTGCGCCGGCCAATATTCGGAACGATTCACGTCGAGCTCCGTCCATTCAGCGGTAAGTCGGTACACTTCAGTGGTGGAGGTTCATGGGGACTCTGAGCAATTTGCAGCGTTGGAATCTCGGTGACTCACACTTGTGCTTGTTCCCCCCTAACTCCCACTTTTGTTAAGGTAATTGCATCCACTGCATTGCTTCAAGACGCTGTGCGATGGTGATTTGAGCACGTGAACAGTTTAGTTGTTGCATTGACCTGGAACTCAATTGGTTTGCATGCGTTTGACTGTGTAATATTAACAAGTGGGTTGAAAAAGGTTTGTTTGAGTGAACAGTGTGTGCATCCAGAGAAGAAGAAGATAAAAAACTAAAAGAAACTAAAAAAACTAAAAAAACTAAACACACACGCACACGCACACACAACTAGCTTATTAGGGTGATGTGGGAGTAAATTGGCAGTTATTTCCAGTCTTAGGGAATGTTAACAACACTCTTAAATCCAATATATGAATTTTTACGTACATAAAAATTTGAACACATAACGTGGGTTTTATGCCCGTGTTGCTTTTCTGAACTACTCAACTGCAACAGCTAATTTTAGTCCAAATTTGGATCATGTTCGTTCAGAATAAGACTTCAAAGAATCCACCGTTGCCAGTTTCTAAATGCGATTAAGTCAGCGTTCCGAGTTTTTTTATGTGGATCGTTACACTTCGGTATACTAGTCAAAGATTGTGTTTTACAGAATAACAATCGTTCATTCGAAACAATGATGGATGGCTAAAAATAATAATAAGTGTAGGAATGTGCCTTCCTTTCAAAGCTCTACTTTCACGACTTATTTCCAATTCTACCTTCCATTTCTTTATCCCATGGTCTGAATATACCAAAACAGTTCACTTCATGATTACTTCTGAATATGTTGTTTATATGGTGTTTTAATTTAATTATCACTTTTTGGTTAGTGTTTACAATTTAGATTTTAAATCTTAGTCTTCTATGTGATATGTTTGTTTTCAGTCGTAATCACTACGATGAAAATAATTGCCCTAGGATTATTGTGGATAAAAATCAGAAGGCATTGCAATTTTGAATGTTCATCTTCAATTATGTTAGCATAAATTGATATAAGCTAAAATCTAATGTTGCAAAATAATAAGTATAATTTTACAGTTATTGATAACTAATTCTAATTTTAATAGTTTGTAAATTTTCAACGTAAACTTGATAATTATTTGCCACTTGTAATTTATCTGATTAGAGTACTATGACTAGTGTACTGTTTATTGGATGTGCCTTTCACTTTATTTACTAAAAAGTTTATAAACCAGTAAATGTATATTCTTGAGAAATTATGAAACTAATGGAGTAATGAAATTAAAATTTGTGATTTTTTTTTAATGTACTTCTACTAAACACTTCCACACCATTCGTTCTGATTATCTCAACAAAATTTAATTGCCACGAAAAGCACAAACAATCTGATTTTGATTACTTTATTTTCTTTTTCCTTTTTTTCCCCTAAGAACTCAGCCATTCAATGATATTTTAAAAAATTAACTAACCATTCCTGCTTGCATATTTTTCAATTTGATTTTATCTTGTGAATCCATCCACTTAATTTTTCACATTAAACAAAAGTGTTTTGTAAGTAGATATGCTGCCATCTGTTTTTTTGTGCTATACATATATATACATACATATACATACATACATACATACTCATGTATTGAATAAAAAGTTATAACTGTTTCTTCAATAAATAAAAGGTGTAAATTTAATAATTCTTTAGCAAAACTGTTTCTTTTTTCTTATTATAATTATTGGAATGGACATCAGATTTTTTTAGTTTTTAATTTTATTTATATTAGAGAAGACCACCATGCATTGTAAATTACATAAAAAATGTTGTGTCCATTTTACACTGACTTATTCTTAATAGACTTATCTTAGTTATCAATTATATTAATTAAATATCATTTTCTTTAAATTTTAATAATATGATCTTTAAATTCTCAAAAAATAATATATTATTATCTTATCTTATTTGAAACCTTTTCAAGAATAGTTTTTTCTTATCAATTCTAAAGTTAAGTTCTACCAACTTATTATAAACATAAATACACTAGTCTAGAATTCTTTGCTTAATAATGTTTTTTACTGATTCAAAATTATTTTATGTTATTAATTTTTATTAATAGAAATAAAATTTAAAATTATATTTGAAATCTAAACAAATATTTTAAATATTTAATTATAAATTACATTTATCAAGAGTATTGTGTCAAAGGATTTTTTAAAAGTTATCCAATTCCAATTTTGAATATGTCTATTATTGACCTCTTTAAATAGAAGTAAGAGATTTCAAGAGTTTACTTTTCTTCTAGTTTTACTAATATTAATAATAGTTTTATCCTTATCTAATAGTCTTACCTTTGTCTCAAGTGTTTTATTTCTTAAATAATTTAAAAGACCTTTAAAAGGCCTATATAGGGATTTATAATGTTAAAATAGATTTGAAAAATATAAGAACTTCTTTTAAGTTTCTCTCTCAATTAAAAGAAACTTTCAAAGTAATGTATCTTTAAATTGTCTTTAAAAAGAAAAAGCTAGAGCCAAATACAAGTTTATATTAATATTGCTAATTTGGCATAAAAGATTATGAAAAAAATACATTGAGACATAAAATAGGCCTAAATACTATTAGAAACTATTTATGTTGTATAGTAGAAACTTAAAAATTAGTTTTTTATTTTTAAAAAAACATAAAACAACACAAATATTTTCAAAAAAATGATAGAATATGACACTGTATGTTGGTAAAAAACTTATTTTGATTGTGCATTTTAAAGTTCTAAACAGTATTCTTATTTTTTAACAACCATCGTTAATGGAAGAAATTCTTCAAGTGCAAGATGTGTAAATCTATTCATCTCTTCTAATATGAATATAATTTTGAACTGTTTAGGATTGACTAAATAGCAAAATAAGTAAAGATTAAATTTGATCCAATATCTAAACAAAAACTATCAGTTTACACTATTTGAAAAGTATGTTGGTAAAAAACTAAGGGATTTTTTTTTCTTTTTCCGGTGCATATATAGGAGAAAAAGCATTTAAAATAAACCTACAAATATAAGACATATTACACACATTATGCTTTGTAAATAGAATTCATTTTGTCAAGTAGAATCTACCACCATCTCTAAAGGCTGGAAAAATACACCACCTCTTTTCTAAAAATTGTATTAATTTAATTCTTCTAATCAATAGTAATGATGTGATGTTTTTTGTTCTATATGTATATATATATATTTAGAAATCCTATTTTTTGGTCTTTAAGATAATTTTTTATTATATTAATATATTTTGATTCTATATAAGCTTATAAAAACATCATTACTAATTGTTATATTGTCATATTATTTATTAGATATATTTTTTGTACTTTATAATAGAATAATCAATATTTAATAAGATCTAAAAAAACAAAAAAACAAACTTTGTTGCTATTATAGATATAGCAAGAGTTGTTACAGCTTTATTCTATTTTTAACACAAATATTTTTTTAATTAAGATATTTTACATAATTTCAAGACAAGATTCATCTCTTCTTTAATCTATACTGAAAAAATATATTTAATTCAAGTACCAAGATTATCTTTTCCATATTAATTTAAAATAAAAATAAAAATTCAGTTAGATTTTAATATTTTAAATTGATGTAGAATTTTAACTTCAATTTTCTTATAAGTTACAAAACAAATTGAAAGCTTGAATCTTTTTATTTAATTTTTATATTATGATTTTTTTAAATCTTTAAATTTAAGAGCCAATTTAAAATATTGGTAAATCGCCTCTTAAATAGTTATGTTTCTTAATATAATATTAAATTATTATAATATATTGCTTGTCTTTTGAAAGCTAATTTGATGAAAAAAAAATTATGTTTTATTTCAAGATTTATAAATTAGTTTTTTTTTAAAAAAATTAATTTTTAGTATTGGAAAATATTAGAAAAATTTGACTAAATATTTTATTTCTATTTTTATTCTTAGAAAATTAAATTGAAAATATAAAAAACAAATTATAGTTTTATAGATTGATTATTATCAGTATTATTATTTTAATTAAATTATATAAAACATAAAATAATGAAAATTTTGGAATAACTATGCTTTTATTGATTTCTTTATGCGATTTTAAAAATTTTAAATATTTAGATATTTTTCTAGTTTTAAAATCTATTTATTTTCACTTGGTATTGATATAATCTTACTAGCTTATCACTTTGGTTGGTCTTTAATTGCCGAGCATTTCGTTTAAAAAAGTTTATTTCATAGTGCATAATAAATGTAAAAATCTGTTATTTTCTTAACTGAATTTTTTAAAAAATGTATATTTTTTAATTTTTTGATGTGTATATTTAAAAAAATTTAATTTCAAAATTGTAATTTATGAAGATAATTTATAATATTCTTTTCTACTAAATTTAATTGATTTCTACATTTAAAAAAAAAATTGCATACTTAAAAAAGAGTGTACAAACAAACAATATGGATATTCTTGCAAAGGATGCCTCTCAACTAATCAAATATTTAATTTAAGACGCAAAATCTTTGTGATAGGTATTAAGATGCTCCTTGTAACATATTCTACCAGGATTAGTTGGTTTTAGTTTTTTGTATTTTTTAATAAAAAAATATAAGTCTTGATATTTTTTTGAAGTTGGTGAAATTAATCTCTATAATCATGCTTTAATATTTTTATTAAAATAATTACATAAAAAAATACATTCCTTAATTGTTTTAAAAATGAAACCAAAGTTTGAGTATTAATGTACAAGTTTCAAATATAAGCACTCAAGTAGTTAATATTATTATTATTATCACAAACTATAAAAATGAATTACAAACTATAGATTGGATGAATATTTTTACCATTTTATAGGTCTAATTTTTAATCACTAGTTTCTAATTTTTGATTTTGTGATTACAATTTTTTTTTTTTTTTTTTTTTTTTTTTTAAGCATGTTCTAAGTAGCTTAAAATTTGCAAGCTTATTTAAAACCGAGTATAAGATTCTAATCATGTTAAAAGTCTTTAAATGACATTTCTTTTCTCTCTTTGTAGGTTAAATATATTTCGTAGTTATGTTGTTTTCTTTTTTATATATATATATATATATATATTAAAGTAACCATATAATCGTCTTTAGCTACTTTTGTCAACAACATCTAACAAACGAAATCTCAACCATTTTATTTTCTACATGATACAATTTGTTAGACTACCTCATAAATTAAGTAATATTACCATTTTAATAACATATATATATATACATGATAAGTTTTTAATTGCATCTATAACATTCAATGTTCTGTTTTTATATTTTTAAATTATAATAATTTTAATTAATTTCTTTAAAATAAAGAACTAAAATATCAAATTTAAATATTCTTATTTTAAATGTATTATATATATATAAACTTTAAAAAATTTAAAAAAGTAGAAAAATGCAAATCCAACAATAGTTCTATGCAAAACATTAATACTTTATAGAAATCTGAATAAGTACAAACAATATGACTTATACTTTTAGTTATAAAACTAATGCAATTTAAGGTTGTATTTCAAAAAGTGCACTTTTATTTTCTTGCAAAATAATGTTTTTTTCATGTGAACATAAATACAATTTATGTAGTTTTATTATTTCTTATTATAAATTTTTTACCATAATGCTTCATAAACATGCTCAAATAATTCAAACATATGTTTTTTTGATTAATTTTCTTATAAAAAATATCTAAATATATATTTTTTAATGTAATGAGAAAAATATTTATACAATTCTTATAAGCCAAACAAATCTTATATTTTTTATTAATTATTATATATTATAGATATATAAATAAAACAAATAATTAAAAATGAAAAATTCGGTTTGAGAATAAAAAAGATTTAGAGATAAATGTTTCATTTAAAATAGTTTATAAAGATGAAGAATATTAAATCAAAAAATATTAATAAATTTTTTACTCTTTTTTTAACAAAACAACCACTATTGCAAGAATTAACAGATCTAAGGGATTGTATTAATGTGATTTTAAACAAAAAGCCAAATCTTTAGAATAATTTCTAAAATACACTAATTCTTATTGTAAATATATTTTTTAGATAAATTACATTGGAATAATATTATTTTATATAATTTATAATTTAAGTAAATTAGAATCGAAATTATAAATGATAATAATAATAATCAAAACTTTATTTCCAAATGTATTGATATTTGTTTATATAACCGATTAAAATTCTTAAAAATATTATCTAGAAAAAAAAAAAAAGCCAATCATTTTTAAATTTTTATAATTGTAATTTTTTTAATATTACATTAGGTTTTTGAATAAAATGCAAATATTTTAAAATTTCAAGTTTGAAACTTTGATAAGGTTTTTAAATTTAAAATCACTTAGTTTCGTGTGGTAGTTTAACTCAATTTTGTTCTCATTGTATTTCTATTCTGTATAAACTATGAAATAATTATTATTTATATTGAATAAAAAATAATGCTTTTAACCATCTACATATGTATATATATATTCATCCTATGTATGTTCATATGCTTATTTAAATTTATTTAGAAAAAATCTTCAATTTTTGATGAATTTCTTAAAACTAAGTTTTATATATATATATATATATATATATATATATATATTAATGGGTTTTTTAAATGCATACAAAGTTATTAAATCAAATATATAGAATAAATCTGATAAATGATCTATATAGCACTATATATATATATATATATATATCTATGTGTGTGTGTGTGTATGTTTTGGTATACATTTTAGATTAGTGTTCTAGTGCTTAAATTATAAAAGTGATTTCATTATTTCTAATTATGAATTTTTATTTCCCATTTGATTCAAATCATTATTAATTTTGAATTTTTTTTTGTATTCGATTATATATATATATATATATATATATATATATATATTGATTGTAATTAAACAATTTAAATATAAAATGAAAACAACTGACTATAAGCTGTTAATATATTCTTTTGTCTAAAATAACTTTTATTTTTATTACATGCTATCATCATTTGTTTTTCCAGGGAGAGAGGTCGACAAGAAAAGTTGTAAGTATTATCAAGTTTATTTTACTTACTGAATGTATAATTTAAAAAAGTAGATAAAAGAACATTATTGCTTAGTTAAAAATATTTGAGAAGGTAGATTATTGACCAGAGAGTTTTAACCCTAAAAACTTAATTGATACCAAATAATTCTGCTTACAATTATTAAACACAAATTACTTGAGATTTACTTTTAAAAATTATTCTGAAGCACAAATTTTCAAGCTAAAGAAGCAAGACTTTCCTGATTTATACTTCTACTTATGAAGTTATGTATGCACTGTATTTAACATACGCCATCACCACACAAAAAGAAGTGACAATTCATAAGTCTATGATTGAGCATGTTGCTCACATCAAGTTTTACTATATACTAGAAGCTCCAAAATACTTGAAAAAATATAGAAAGTAATGAGCAAATAGCACAATTATACATCTTTGTTTCATAAAATGTAGACAGGATTTCGATTATTTATATGTTAATTTATTTACTATAATTATTATTGAATTTTTTATCTTATGTATTAATAGGTAACAAACCTTGGCATAAATGGATCCTTGCTCTTATTTACTAAATCTTAGTCATTCTACAGTAAATCAATCCATGTGTTAAAGCAACAAATTATATTTAAAAATAAAAGTGAATTTTAACACAATATTTTTTGATCTATTTTCCTTCAGAAATAAAATTATTTCTCAATTAATACTCGACAATATAATGTGAATTTTAAAGTATAAAACCCAGAATATGTTACATTATATGCAATATTTTTAAATAAAATAATATTGAAAATTATAAGAATGATCATAGATTATCTCATACAGAATGAAGTTCATTAAATCGAAACTGATTTTTTTAGATTTTTGGCTTTAATTCATTGAAATTCTTGATTTATTAAAATTTAAAGTATACATAATTCCTTTTAATTATAAAGTTGCTTTTGAAGTTTCAAAACCCTCAAACTTGTTATTTAAATAATGAACAAACCTTTTCTGAGGCTTGTAAGCATAAAACAATTGAAACGTTTCTGTAAATCACTCTAAAATAAATACCACATGTGTAACAATACATAAAATTATCAATGCCAAATCAGATCAGATAATTGATTTGTGGCACAAACTATTCTCTAACACTCAAACACATTTATCAATCTAAAAAATTCATCTGAGTCTAACAACCACTCTAAACTACAAGGTTTTGTATTATAATCTCACATCACCATATAATGGAGTTTTGATTTTCATCAACGAACAAAAACTTAAAAAAAAAGGGCACAAACCAACCACTAAAAAGAAAAAGAAAAATGTTTTACTTTGAACTTTTCTATGCAAGTGTAAAATTAATGACAAAATCACAAAATATATAAAAAAATAAAAATTAAAAAAATCTCAATTCCATACATCCACAATACTATCCCCCACCCAAATAATCATTTAGAATATTATAACCACAACGAGTGAATAACAACAACAATAACAACCTCAAGGAATGGACCCATTCCATGGCGACCTTTCGCCGTGGGAATCCGCTGTAATAGGCCTGGAGGCGGAGGACCGAGGGGGGAGAATCCGGAGGAGGGAGGTGGGACGCAGCCATGGCACCAACCCAGCAGCAGGGGTAGGTCCGGAAGCGGCGTGGTAACCAATCAAATCGTGGGCCGGGTGGCCCGCTCTCGTAGTGTCAAGCCATACCCAGCGTCGGGTCGCCCTCCTCATCTCGCCCTCCTCGAATGACCCGCCCTTCGCCTGCGCCACCCCGGCTGGCTTTGTGTCCCTGGATAGGACTGACTGACGCCCCTCGCTCGCTCGCTCGCTTCCTCCATTGCTGCCCCTTTCCCCTTCACTGCCCGACGCTCTCGAACTTGCCGACTCCTCTTTTTTCTGATTGCCACTCGGCGAAGAAGTGGAGCTCGTGCTACTGATTCTTCTTCTTCTTCTTCTTCGCCTGCATTCCATTGTGGTGTTCGGTATCGGAAGCAGGGTGCAGGAGGGATGGCGTCGCGGAGCTGGTCGGGGACTCAGTTCTGACGCGCTGTGGCGTGGAGATGTGAACGGGATTTAGCGATTTTCTTGGAGCTCTAAGGTATGCGGTGGTAGTGTGGTGAGGGTTTGGGAGAGCGGAGGAATGGCGCTTGAGCAGGCTTGGATTTGGATAGAAGTGCGCAGAAGTTTTTTTTTTTTTTTTTTTTTTTTTTTTTTTTTTGGTTTTTTTTTTTTTTTTTTTGTTAGGTCTGGAGCGAGAGCTTGGAGCTCGTGTTGAGGGGATTGCAGGTTTGTGATTGTTGAGGTTAGAGTGTGCACTTGGCTCATTGCAGGCATTGTCTGTGTGGTGATCTTGAGCTTGAGTACATGCAGATGCCGAATTGTGCCTGCTTGTGGAACGTATCTTCACGATGTTGCATTATGCAGTTTCAATTGCATGTAGAGATTCTGGAGCTGATTTTGAAGAGAGAGAAATGTGGTGTCTTTGTGCGAGAGTAATTGCAGTGGTTTTATGATGTAGAGATATTCGGCCTTTACTTTACTTTTTAGAGAAATTAATTTTAAGATTGAGTTAGTAGTTATCATGAGATACAGATTCTGCACCTTAATCCTCTACCAAGGCTGGTTGCATATCTGCGAGCTTTGGGATATACGTTTGGTCAATCGAACATCGTCATTAATGTTATGTGAATGCTTTTGGATAAAGTTTCTAGAAGCCATTTCCCGCTTGGATTTGCAGTTTTGGGCCGGGCATTGTGCGCCGAATTCTTTTTCACACTTTCTCTGCCGAGTTTGAATTAGTATTTGGACTAATTCCTACATGCCTTATTTTTGAAAACCTTCTGTTGAAGTCAATCCTACTCTGTGCATGGTTCTACGCATTATATTGTTAATTCGGTTGCACGACTTTAGATTTCAAGTAACCTGTTCCGTTTCTCCTTCATTTTACTTCTTGTTTCGGAAGTATCCTTGGAATGCCTTAGTCATTGTTTTGTTGTCATGGTTTGCAGGCAATGAAACGAAACATGTCGAAATTCTGTCCAGAATAGCTTCTCATGATAACCGAGATACTCCACAGTATAGTATACTATTGAGTGCCGTCAATGCATCGTTTGCCAGCTGGTAGATTACATGGTGTATAGTATGGTTGTTTGAAGTTTTCTCGTCCGCATTAATATTAACTGGCCTCGCATCATGGTTTGGCTGTTATAGAGAAAGGGTTTACGCTACATGAATCGCAATTACGCTTTGCTGCTGCATTGTGTAGATTATCCTTACTCTTTGATATTATCCGTAATCATCATCGTGAGCACTGAAACACTTGAGGCGCGCGGTTGTGGCATCTTTTCTATCGTTGTAAACGTATGTCCTTCATATTAACAGTCATGAGTCTCATATTCGCAACGAATTGATCCCATCTGGGGTTTGTGCAGGCACCAGCTCTGGTTTTTCGTCTAAAGGGTTGAAGGATGGCATTTGCAGCGGCAGCATCCCCCCTGTGTACTTGGTTGATAGCCGTTTGTGTATCTAGTTCTCCATCAGGACGCTCTAGTGGTGATGGATCAATAAGCTCAGGGTCTCTGGGCAGAAGTCTTAGGAGGAGAATTTCACGCTCTAGGCAGTTGGTTGCAGAAAGTTGGTTTCCAACCGTCGGCATCCAAGCAGCAAGTTTATCTGGACAAGGTTTAGTAGCATATTGTGGAAATGGTCTTTCGGAATTAGGAAGTTTTTGCAGTTTACGAGGATGCAAAGATTATAACAACTTGAAGCACGAGCCTCTGTTTGGAGGGGATTTGGCGAGTTTAGGAGGTCTAGGAAATTTGATAAGCTTCGGCACAAAACCTGTAAAAGCTGGTCGGAGGCTCGGCAGAGCTGCAGCAGGTATGTTCCCCTGGGTACAAGCTATTTTTCGATTTCTGTAAAAAATCTGTTCCTGTTCCTGTAATATGCAACTGTCTCATGTTGAGTACCGCCTGCTGTTTCTGTTACATTGTGCCTGCTGCCCAGTACGTGGTGGAAGAGAATAGGATGGGTTCTGTTCGTGAAACAGTAATTTAGATCAGCGTGTCACATGTCATTAATATTCTATTATTTCTCTATTTTTCCCCTTTACCTCTGTACAACCGTCATGGTAACATATGGGAGAGATTAGCAGCATATATTGAGGGGGATTCAGGGGATCGGAGAAATTCCTTGACTTTGGTTAAGTGGTGAAAAATCCTCGGGGGTGGGGGGGTGGTGATTGTTGCGGATGTCAGGAAAGGCTACAGCCGTCGCTGTACAACCATCTAAGGAGTCCAATCAGAAAAAGAATAAAAAAACCGCAACTAAACAAAGAAGGGTTGTTGTGACCGGTATGGGTGTGGTATCTTGTCATGGTCATGATCCGGACACATTCTATGAGAATTTATTGGCGGGGAAAAGTGGAATCACAGAGATAGAGAGATTCGATTGCAAGGACTTTCCAACAGTAAGTTCCTCATTTGAATCCGTTAGCCGAAGTCTTTAATTATCAATTGTGATCAAGTGTGTTGTAAGCCCTATTTATCTTGTGGGTTTCATTTTACATCAGTGCGATTTCAGCTGAATATGCATAGTCTCTGGTGCTTGTATGAGTAATCACAGTACATAATCAGTTGTGAACTTTTAACAACTTACTGGACATTGACGTAGTGCCTGAATGCTTAGAGTGCAAGTGGTTATGAAAGCATGATCTAATTGAACTATTTTTAGAGAAGTTGTTGCTGATGAGCTCTAGTGATCGTTTTCAAGTGATGATTTTTTATGGTGTTTGATGGCAGAGGTTTGCTGGTGAAATTAAGTCGTTTTCAACGGATGGCTGGGTGGCTGGGAAGTTTGCAAGGCGCATGGATAGGTTCATGCTGTATCTTCTTACAGCAGGAAAAAAAGCTGTGATGGACGCTGGTATTACAGAAGACATTATGAAAGACCTTGACAAGTCAAAATGCGGCGTTCTTATTGGATCTGCAATGGGAGGGATGCAGGTGTGTTTGTTTTAAACTAACTGATTCTGACCTGGTCAGAATTTTCTGTGCATCATGTGAGATCTTTCATGCTTGCTTTTTGGTGCATTATCTGAAGATAGAGTGCTGGTTTGGCAGGTATTCAATGATGCCATAGAGGCATTGAGGATTTCTTATCGAAAGATGAACCCATTCTGTGTACCTTTTGCGACCACAAACATGGGCTCAGCTATGCTGGCCATGGATTTGGTATGACTTCGTGCTGACTGATTTAGGTGTTTCGTGGTTTTTCTTAGACAAATTCATAGTTAGATGCTTGAGTTCGATGCAAAATTAGAAGAATATTTTTCCCAGAGTGTCCTATTTCTATTTTCATTTTCTCGTATCAAAGTTTATTGATTCGTCACTTTTTGCCTCTATGTTATAGGGGTGGATGGGACCTAACTATTCAATATCAACAGCTTGTGCTACAAGCAATTTTTGTATTCTTAATGCTGCAAATCATATCATTAGGGGAGAAGCTGTAAGTTACCGATACTTCATCAGGATTATTTTAATGTGTTTCTTTAGAAGGTCCATGGTGATTGTTTTTTGAGTTGTCCACGAAAATTGTTAGAGTTAAGAATCTGACGCCTCATTTCAATTGAACATTGCTAAATCAGCAATGTTGAATTCTCATAGAAAATCTTCATGTGCAGGATGTTATGTTATCAGGAGGCTCCGATGCTGCAATTATTCCTATTGGTGAGTCTGTCGAACTTAGTTTCTCTGAGCTAAGCAGAGTTTGGGATAGCTTCCTTCACGAGAAATTATTAGTACGGAAGTTAACTACTTTTAGAAGTTCCGAATGCACCACCGTTGTTATTTATTTTACTTGTATGTAAGCACGTGATGTTGCAATGCAACTGCGAGTTGTACTTCAGTTCAAATCAGTCTCTATGAATGGAAGATGACAGTTCAGTAATTATTGAGAATTTTGGGACATAGTACTCCACATTTGGCTATTCAATGGCTTCTTATACTGATTTTTATTTTTCGTTGTTCAGGTCTTGGTGGGTTTGTTGCTTGTAGAGCCCTCTCTCAGCGCAACGATAATCCATCCAAAGCATCACGTCCCTGGGATAAGGTATGGTATAAGATTATCGTCCTTGCCGGTCATCTTGCCCTTGTTAAGTGCTTTTACTTTTCTTGTGGCTTCTATTGTTTTTCAATTTTGATCTCTCTGCAGGATCGGGATGGGTTCGTCATGGGTGAGGGGGCTGGGGTTCTCCTTCTGGAAGAATTAGAACATGCCAAGGTATGTTCTCAGCATCCTTAAGCGATTAATGTAAATGAAAGTTCAAAGATTTTGTCGGCTCTAGGCTTCGTTATCATTTAGTGAGTCTTTTTACCTTTTTTTTTATAGTGAAGATAACGCATATGAAGGCTTTACTTAACGAGCTATTAACTATTCTAGCCCTTTTCCAGGCACGGGGAGCAAATATCTATGCTGAATTTCTAGGGGGTAGCTTCACCTGTGATGCTTATCACATGACAGAGCCTCATCCAGAAGGTAAATTGTACTGCTGTGCTTTAGTGACAGGCTTGAGATGTAGATCTTTCCTTGTTCCGTACCAAGCAGAACTGTCCGCTTTCGTGTTGACTCGCATAGCGGCTAGATGAGATTACTGTATTGGACGTTTTTCGGTGGCTACTTTTCTTGTTGTAAAGCATGATCCCTTTCTAGTGCATGACAGGTGCTGGTGTGCTACTTTGCATAGAGAAGGCTTTGGCTCAGTCAGGAGTAGAGAGGGGTGATGTCAACTATGTGAATGCCCATGCAACCTCAACAAAAGCTGGTGATCTGCAGGAATACAAGGCCCTTGTGAAGGCCTTTGGAAGCAATCCCGAGGTTAGAAAGTTAGCTAAAAACTCACCTGTGGCAAATGTTGCATTCTGCAGTCTTTACAATCTCCGTTCTTATATACATCTGTTTATCCTGGTGAGGGATAATGAAGATTTTGCTATCAGCTATGGTTACCAAAGTTGGGTGAAGTTTACAAATGTTAATGTACTCCCCGCTCATGTGGAGACTTAAGTGAACACCCAGTAATGGTAGCCATGTTATTTTTAATGTGATCTAAGTCAACGTGCATTTTTCCTGCAGCTCAAAGTAAATTCAACTAAATCTATGGTTGGTCATTTGCTGGGAGCTGCTGGTGCAATTGAGGCTATTGCAACCATCCAGGTGGGTTTTAATACTCGAAGGAAGACACAACGCATTGTGCCTGCATATTGACACACCCTTTTTTTCTTCGAAAACTAGTATGGCTCTAGAAAGTCAGTACACTGGTTGAAACATGACACATTCCAATTCAGATTCCTGGGCATCAACCTACTAAATATACTGATTAGGACAGATTCCTGCATCAACCGACTAAATACGTTGATTTTGCTGCTCTAATTGTTGGGCACTTAACTGATGCAGGCAATCAGAACTGGTTGGGTGCACCCAACGATTAACCTCGAAAATCCAGAAAGTTTAGTGGTAAGTGCTTCTCAATGGAGGGCTTGAGCTTTAATGATATTGATCATGTTATGGACATTGTATATTTCATAATGGTTTCCAGAACGGGAAGTATCAGCAAAATCTATCTGCATATTTATTCCTAGAAGATTTTGTCTATAGTTTGCGGTTGTTCATCTTGTTCGTATTAGTCATCTGACGTTGCTGATAATCGTAGTTTCATTCATTAATCGTCCTTAATGCTTACGCGAACTCCATTGTTGTATCTTAGTAATTGCTCCACATTCCGTGCTTGGTGGGCTTTCGGTTTGTTTCTTACACCATATTCAAAATGTTGTCAGGACATGAACGTGATAGTAGGAGCTGAAAAGCAGAGATTGGACATCAAGGTTGCCCTATCAAACTCCTTTGGTTTTGGAGGTCACAATTCTTCAGTGTTATTTGCGCCTTATATCGAAGCCAATGAGGAAGAGTAAAATGAGGCGTCCCTTCCTTTCTCCCCAGATTGTACGAGTTCTCTGGCTTTTAACTCTATATGTTGAAAGATTGAGGAATTGGGACGGCTGGATAGGCGCATGAGATTTAATCGGAGAGAAATTAATCAGGGTAGTATAACATGCCCTTAACGTTGAGGCAACATTGTCATATTTATCAAGTTGTAAATCAAATGCTTGCACATTTTGCTGGGTGGACATCCCAAATGGGCTGTGTTGTTAAGGACGCCTCCCCCTTGCACTTGGCTCCCTAAAATTGAAACAGAGTAAGTATGAATACACCAGAATCCAACCTGCCACTATATTTAACAAATTTCTCGGTTTTGTGGAATCTTCATTCGGGTAGGAGAAACACTGAAAGAGAGTCAAAATGTGTAAAACTGTAATTAGGAAATGCACATTGAATGTTATGTATGTCGTATTCGGTTTCATCGAAATATTCTTGATTATCTATCAAAATAACAAATCATATCTTCAGTTCTTATGATAAGAATTGTACCATATTCAGCCTAAAATGCAATTTTGGAGCCGCACGTTTTGCTGTAAAATCTTCGTATCTGGGATCGATCTCTTTTCATTTTGGAACCTGTATTTTATTATTTTTGTTATTTTTATTTTTCATGAAATAGCTACTTTGGTTGTATATGTGTGTACATACGTATATATAATTTTTTTTCATGCTGAGTTACATCTTTGGGGTTTTTAATGAAATATTCACAGTATTTTACAATTTGTTTTTAATAAAATTTGTGTATATCACCTCTTCATTATCGGTTTTCTTTTCATTATAATTTCTAACAATTTTAGATATTATTTATTTATTTATTTATTATTTATTACAGGTCTTATTTATCTACAATAAATCATCTTTGGTTTCTATTATTCTTTGATTCTATCTACTTTGTGTTTGGTTGTGTAATTACTAGAATGCATTAAATATAATATATTTATAATAGAATATAAATTTAGTTTTAAAATTTATTTGTAGATAATTTGCTTATTTTATTACAAGCTAAAGTGGATAATTTTTGGTAAAACAACAAGTATATGCATTCCAATGACTAATATATTAATTTGATACTATATAGTTTAGATAGTTTTTTATTTTTATTTTTATTTTTATTTTTTATTTTTTATCATGCATACATTCTATCAAAATATAAAAATATATAGACATATCTAATTTTATATAAATAAATAAATTTATGCATTATTTAATTTTTAAAACATTGTTGCTTTATAATATAACAGAAGGTGAAAGAGTATATAAAGACCAATAATCTAAAAGGATTTTTAATTTTTTGCAAAAGTAATTTTTTGCAAAAGTAACTAAAGAAAAACTAAACTTAATATCAAAGAATAACCATTTATAAACCAAGATTGAAATTAGATCCTAAGGTACAAAATTGCATGCCCACAGTATATACAAAGTTTTTGCAAGTACTCTATTTTAAATTGCTATACTTCAATCAAGTTGCTATCAACATGTTAATGATTTGAGATGATACAAGGAATGGTTTGTTATCAAAATTTGGACCATCTCTCATAAGAGATATATTCCTTTAAAAAGGCCCTTGTAAACTAGCTTGCATAGTCAAACAATGAACAATAATAAGTAATTTTCTAAAGATATTATACCTCATCTAGAAAATGCACAAATAATCGGCTATCCTTCTTGAGCTTTAATAGCTATTCTTAAGTTTTAGAGGACTATATCTTTAGGGCATGGAGTACAAAAACCCCTTATTCATCCTTTGTGATCAATTTTCAAATAACAACGTTTTCTATGCTTCAAACCTTAATTGCTTATTTTAGTGATAACTTAGCAATTTACATCTTTGAAACTAACTACATCAACTATAGTCTTTGTTAGCACTTTCTTTGGCAACAAATTAGTAGCTTTAATATCTAAAGACAACAACTACCCTAAATTGTATCTTCTTTGTTATCTTACTTAATGGTGACTTGATAGCTTAGAGTCTCTATAGTAGCACCAAATATTGTATCAAAGTATGTTGTAATAGAATTCTTTCAAAATATTACAATTTTTTGGCCAAACACTTAAAAATGATACATATTTGTTTTTCTAATGATCAATTGTACCAAATTGTGCTTTTTGGACCAAAATAAGGTATCTGCTTTAGGAATGTTACTTCTTTTCTTATCTCCTTCTTATCACTTCTTATAATATATTATAATATAAATGCATATAAATCCCAATTCTAAGGATCTATGCTTCAAATAAATACTTCTTTTAGATTTTATCTCATAAGAATGGATTTGAATATCAAAAATCTACTTTATTAGTTTTCCTTAATAAATACACTTGATTTTTCTTTCTTTCATTTAAAGAGATAGACTCAAAATATCTTTGATTCATTTTAGCTAAGCCTTTGATTTTGATGAAAATAAAACATTTTTCTAGTTGATATGTCGTTTCATCTTTGTTTAAGTAATTCTCCTTTAAACTTGTCTAATTGCCTTGCTAAAACCTCCTTCTCAAACTTCATGATAAATGTTGGCTAGATGTTGGAATATCTTCACGGCTCCAAAGAAAACAAGTGAGGACTTTGTTACTTTATAATATATTACATAAGATATCCAAATCCAACCTTAGTACTATAATGATAGTATTACTTTAAGTTCTCACTTTAGGGTGATAATTGGAACCAATTTAGAATATTAAATTGTGGCCTTTATGATGTTTGCAATGTTATTAGTATTGTCATTAACTACAAATATTTTATTGGTACTGCTTTTTTACTTCATCAAAACTTTATGGCTCTTCTATTATTTATATTTTCATTCTTTAGAAGTATACTAAGATTTCCACATTTTATATAATTATAAAGAATTCAAGCAACAATGCTACTTACTTTATCAATTTTTTTATCTCTCATATCCTTTATTTTGGCATAATTTAGAAGCTAAGCTATGGTTCTATCTTGTGTCCAAATGCATCATAATTATCAAATTTTATAATATTTAAGCTATTCTAAGGTCTTTCTTTGTAATATATTTTTTATTTCATTGAAACTACATATTTCTTGTATCCTTTATTTTGACATTCTTGAAAGTATACTAAAACATAGATAGTATGATTCTTGTAATTTCTTTCTACTACATAGCTACATAGCTATGTTATTTGCTACCAACACTTTGAATAATTTCAACTTGCAAAGAAGGAGGTTTTTGCATTTTCTTTAGATTCAATCTCTATCAAATACTTTGTAATATGTTTTATAAACACTCTCAAGGATTCCATCTTTAATAAACTTTAACCATCAATATATCAATGCTTTTTGAATTGATGTGTACTTGGATTTATTATTGTCTCATCATTCTTTCAATATGGTGGATATATGTTACTTCTTTTATCTCTCAAAAATATACAAATGACTTAAAGACTTAGTCAAGTTCAAAAGCAAAGTTTGACTTTGATTAATTCTATGTATCTATATAAATATAAATATAAATATATATAAATAAAAATAAAAAATATATAAATATAAATATATATAAATATAAATATAAATATAAATAAATATAAATATAAATAAATATAAATATAAATAAATATAAATATAAATATAAATATA